CGGGGCGTCCAACAAGAGGCCTGTGTGGCAGCTCCTGGCAGGGAAGCCCAGCAGGGGCTGGGCAAGGGCTGGGGTGGATGCCCCCTCCCACAACGCTCCGGTGCCCAGACCCTCCCTCGCCTTTGGCCAGTTCCCCCTCCTCCTCCCTAAGCCCAACACTCTGGCGGCAGGCGGCCCCGTGGCAGCTCAGGAATGTCAAGCGGTGCCTCTCCCTTTCCAAGTGGCCAGAGAGGGCTCGCTTGCTCTGCGGGGTGTGGGGACAATGGAGTCCCAAGTCCGTCCCCCGTCCCCCCCTCCCCCCGACTCTAGGAGACTTGCAGGATCCACTGGGTTGCAGCCCAGGGAGGTGAAGTGACTGATTGAAGCCCCAAAGCCTGTAGAGAAGTCACGTGGGGCGCGGTGGGGAGGAGACACCGTTCAAGCTTTATGGGAGCACAGCCCCGGGTGGCGTGGGTGGCGGGAGGGCTCGAGCACTTGGTGGTTCCTGCTGGGATGCAGAGCCTGGAGGGTGATGGCACTGGGCCCTGGCCCTGCCCCGCCTCCTGAGGGCCTCTGTGCTGGCCTCACCTTCCTCATCTCTCCGGGTGCAGCTGCGGGAGGTGAAGGAGCTAACTCACCCCACCCCCCCAGCTGCCTCCCGCCTGCGCTGAGAGCAGGCCAGGTTCCAGAGAGGGCATCAGGGGTCAGCGTCCGACCGCCGAGGGTGGTGTGAGGGCCATGCCCTGTGGAGGCCGTTTTCAAGTGTATAATATAGTAACTAGAATCACCACACTGCCCATTAGGTCCCCAGAACTTAGTCATCACCTCACTGAAAGCTTTTACCCTTTAACCAACATCTCCCCACTTCCTGGGCCCCCTCAGGCTGCTAACCACCATTTCCCTCTCTGCCTCTATGCGCTGGCTTTTGTAGATTCCACCTGTAAGGGAGATGATGCGGTGTTTGTCTTTCGCTGTCTGACTTACTGCACTTAGCAAAATGCTCTCCACGTTGTCCCCATGGCAGGAGTGCCTGCTTTTCTCATGGCTGAGTAATATTCCATATTAGAGGCCCGGTGCACAAAATTCGTGCACAGGTGGGGTCCCTAGGGCCTGGCCAGGGATCAGGGCTGCTCAGGTTCCCTGCCTCCTCCACTCCCCGCCTCTCCCCCTCCTCCTTCCCTCACTGCCCGGGTCCGCGGCCACCCACCCCCAGTTCCCCGTCCCAGCCTGGGGCGCGGCCCTGACTGGGCGATCGGGACCTGCCAGCCCAGGGGAGGGACTGGGAGGTTGGCTGGCAGGGCCCATCAGCAATCAGGGGCTGGGGGCAGCTCCTGCGTTGAGCGTCTGCCCCCTGGTGGTCAGTGTGCGTCATAGTGACCGGTCATTCTGGTTGTTCCGGTCATTCCATTGTAACGTCACTTAGGCTTTTATATATATAGATTATCTCACATCTTCCACATCCATTCATCTGTCGGTGGACACACGAGATGTTTCCACAGCTCAGCTACTGTGAACAATCCTGCAGTGAACATGGGAGTGTACATATCTCTCTAAGATCATGTTTTCATTTCCTCTGGATATATCCCCGGAAGTGGGGTTGCCAGGCCACACGGTAGTTCAGTTTTTAATGTTTGAGGGGTCTCCATGCAGTTTTCCACAGCGGCTGCACCAGTTTACACTCCCACCCACAGCTCACAGGGCTCCCTTTTCTCCTCGCCCACACCTGTGATCGCGCGTCTTTTTTATGACGTCTTCTAACGGGTGTGAGGTGATAGCTCAGTGTGGTTTTGATTGGCGTTTCCCTGAGGCCAGGCACCTTTTATTTGGTAAATTTCTATTCCGTTCCTTTGCTCATTTTTAAATCAGATTGTTTGCTTTTTTTTGCTATCGAGTTCTTCACATCTTTTGGATATTAACCTCTTACCAGAGACAGCATTTGCAAGTATTTCCTCTCATTCTATCGGTGACCTCTCCATTTTGTTGATTCTTTTGCTGTGCAGAAGCTTTTTAGTTTGGTGTAGTCCCACTCGTTAGCTTTTGCTTTTGTTGCTGTGCTTTTGGCGTTATAGCCACAAAATTGTTGCCAAGACCAATCCAGGGGGCTTTCCCCCCATGTTTCCTTTAAGGAGTTTTTTGGTTTCACGTCTTATATTTAGGACTTTAACACCCCCCCCTTTTTTTTTTGGCTTAAGTGTATATATTTTACCAGGGCAAAGGTATACTTGTGCATGAACTCATGCAACACACACTATGCAGTTGCATCATTTAGAGCAGTGGTTCT